CGTTTCTCACTCGTTCCTCACTTGTTCCCCACTCGTTCCTCGCTCGTTCCTCACTCGTTCCTCACTCGTTCCTCACTCGTTCCTCACTCGTTTCTCACTCGTTCCTCACTCGTTCCTCACTCGTTCCTCGCTCGTTCCTCACTCGTTCCTTACTCGTTCCCCGTTCATTCCTCACTCGTGCTTTGCAGATACAATGTCTTTATTAACGATCGAATTTTTACACAAAATAATTTTGGTTATTTACTCTTCATTATTAAATCTAATTGCATGACCGGTTTGTCATCACTGGTGGCAAATTATTTGTAATCTTTATATATATGACAATGTGGGACTCAATATATAAAACATCTGAATTAATCCCCGCAATACGTCTATATAATTTTTTAAATTACCTGCCCGGAACCGATACTCTTTTCCTATACCCTTTGTGTTGAATATGGAAGGCCAGGCCGTTTCCAATTCGGCTTTTCCAGTGTATGCCGCTATCTCGGCATACTTGTATCCAAAGTTTACAAACGCATCTCGTAGTCTTTTTGCTAAGATCATGATGCTTAAGTTTTCTTATGCTGTCTCTATCATTTTGCTTCATTAACAAACGACGAGTTTTTATTGCAAGTGATTGTAGTCATCATTAAATTCGATCGAGCTACATGTCGTCGCCATCTTTCAAAGTCGGTATCGGGTAACGCAATAGCATATTATATCCCAGCTTATCAAACTCACAACAATATTTTAATGATTTGTGAGGGATTCTTGAATTATCTTACTTGAATGAAACTATTAAGTGATGATACCAACACATTCTTTACATTTTGCCCCTGAACCCGTTGTGATTCATTTGGTGCTCTCAGGCCTAGGCCTGTTTCAAACGTCTTGCTTCTAACGCCTAGGTCTACCCCGCATTTTGATCGCGTCGAATGCAATTTAAACAATAAGTAATGAGATAATAAACTTTATAAAGCCTCATATCATCTCATTATATATCTATTGTTCGAATTTCATTTGACGCGATTGAAATGCGAGGTATAACCTAGGTCTAAAATGTGCTGAACTGACGCATATAAAAAACCAGTTAATCAACGAGGATGCCTCATTATCAATTGTTGTTAATGCAATCGTTTGAAACAGGCCTCAGAGGCTGCCGGCTTACATGATTCAGCTTAGCCGAGATTTAATGAATGTGAGATGACTTTAAGGTATCGAAATGAGAATATATAATAACAATTACATGATCCATGCTGACAGTGGTGTAGTCTTCACAACAATAGCATGTGCTTGTTCCGTTCCATAAACATTTAAATGAACTCAAGCTTCGTTGAATCTCGAATAACCGGGCCTATGTAAATAGCCCCTTTCAGATTATCCAACAGAATATCCACAAAGCCGGTTGAGATAAACTATTGTTATAATTTGTCCATGCAACAGGCTAAAACAACGACTGCACATAAAATATTGTCATAAATTATCCTCGTTAGCATTTTTGCCATACCCCACTGCACGCGCACATGAGACAAAGGCTAGCTGGTGAAGGGTTGAGTTTGTGGGCGATTTTTGAAGCAACTCGCCAATATCACGCAGTGGACGTGAAAATACCTGGCTAAAAAGTCGGATGGTTTTAACCCATGCACCTCAAAGTTATAACTAATAACCAAAAACCGTACATAACTGACCTAAAAAGTGCCAAAATTTCAACAATAATTGATTTAAATAGTTTGGGGTTTTGTTTCCCTCTGTAGATAAAATGGTTGACTTTCAATATTGCTAGTAAAGTTATGACGATCATCACCGTTCTGGTGTCTGCGACGGCACTTCATTTTACGTTTTCCAGCATCAAGCCTTGCACTATTTTAGCTAACTGTTCATGCAATACTAGGCCCAAAAGTCATATAAGCAATGCCTGGTCTGAACATTTAAATAATTATCACTTACACTTATTGATTTCTCTCTGCTTTGAATCTCTAAACAACCAGGATATTTCTACATGCACCGTTCTGAGAGATATGGCCGACAGGCTGGTTTGTTTCATCTTACTAGTCGGCCAGATGCTTCCATTCTTCGACGGTTAGGATTTCCTCGGTTGTTTTTGAAAAGCATCCAAAGCGGGGTTCGTAGATTGGCTGAATAAATTAGACAAGCATTGTTATAATTAGAAGGTCTCTAGTTCCATCAGGCCAAGCTTGTTTGTACGTGGCGTAATCTCATTATCATCTTATTATCTATTGTGTGAGTTTCATTCAATGTGCGTGCATGAGCTAAATACGACCTTAATTCAAAGGTATCAACCACAAGCGAAAGATTACTCGGGCGGATAGTGCTATTATCTCATGGAGTTTGTAGCGAATCATGGTGCAGTGATATAGGTTCTAAACCGGCCAGCGAGATTTGAAATAGCGAGGCAAAACATGTCAAATATGCCCAACAAAGAATGATGCTCTTCAGTCTTAAGCCGGCCGCACACGAAAGCTACCTGTAGAGCTAATTAATGGGCTGTTTACATGAGCCCGGTTTCCCGAGATTCAACGAAGCGTGAGATGATTTTGAGGTATTAAAATGAGCAGATAACATGATCCTGACAGTCGTATAATCACCACAACAATAGCATGTGCTTGTTTGGTGTCATAAAGACTTATTTCAATACCTCAAAGTCCTCTCACGCTTCGTTGAATCTCGGGTAACCGGGCTCATGTAAACAGCCCCTAAGAGACACATTAGCGTAGCAATTTCCCTCAGTGTGAGCTGACGTTTTGCCGGCGAGGTTTGTTCACTCATGTTCATTACGAAAATACACAGTATATCATTTGTTTTTGACTTTATCTTGATTCTTGATTATTCATTTCGATTAAAGAATGACAATATCTTGACCATCTTCATGTTATACAAATTAGGGCGGACTTCATGGATCGAGTTTTTAACCTTCACTTGTTTAGTTCTAATTCTCTGACTTTTATTGCATGATAGCCTGCTCTTTGTCTTGTTGTCATCTGGAATGCGTGTCGAAAACTAGATATCTCTGCGACACGCTTTTGACTGAAAATTGATCGTGTGTCACATGTCACAAATTACATTTAAGATTTGCTTGATTCTTGAAATACCACCCAAAGCTGAAAAGATATCACAAATCATGCATGTGAAGTGTCAGTATAATCATTATCTAGCATTTATTAATATACAGTTACCTAAATTTCCGTGTTTTGGATGGCCTGATCCAAACACGGGCTTCGACCAATCAAAACACGCGTTATATACATGTTATTTTATAATACTCCGAAAGTTCAAGTAATCAGTGCCATATCAATATGTCGCCACAGTCACGCGTCTGTACGAACTCTCCTGAGAAAAGGCGTTTATAGATCAAAACGTCTAGAAGTGTTTTTATCTTTTCCGTTGACCGTTGGAGCCTGTTTACATGATCCACAAGCGCCACACAACTCATCTCATCGTCGTCATGAAGATTCTTAATCCTAAAGAGTATTGTAGGCATAGGTTCCAAATAACCAAAAGTACTTGGGCCGGATATACCTAGCTATACGTATTTTAAATATACTTAATTCATGTATTGTAAGTGTAGCTTTACTGGGACAGAAATTCAATGTCAACGAGTTCCCAATAAATCTACAGGGGTAGACGCGGTGCGTAGAATGAAACGAACTCGACGTAGGAATTTTGATAATTTATTAACAGGATATATACAGGTTTGGGTCGAATAAGTCAATTGAGAATATTGCGTCGTTTCGAATTTGGTTTGCAGACGCACCAACTTTAACTATCATGTGCGTAGATATAGCTTTGATCGAGGTAGAATAAAGATAGAATTTTTTTTTTGTCTCACAATGCGAATAGAATTGTAGCATAAACCTTTGCTTTCTTGCAAGCGTCCACATTCGAGACTCAGCGTAGAATGAATAACCTAAGCTAGGTAGGCTGTTTTTGTGTAGAATGAACTGGATTTCGAAAACATAGAAACGCGGTGTGTTTTTGTGACGGACATAGCGTGGCTAGGCAAGGCAACTGCATCGCGCATTTGCTAACCAAATTTACGCATTTGATGTAAATCTTTGCGCTGAAACGGAAAATAACAACTTGTTTTTTCCAGAAGGTCTTTTACAAAAAAAACAACTTGAATGACCTTCCGTTTCGAAACCAACAGTAAGAATGTTGGACATTTGATATGTTAAGAATGTACATTCGCAATAATATAATACAAAAAATCGATCTCTCACATTCAAACTTATTAACGCTTTGGATGGATGTATGGCTTGGGATGTGTGTGTGTTCCTTTCTCGTTTTAAACCACTACCTAAGATCTCAAGGCCTAGACACTCTTAATGATTGAGGTGGTGAGGGAAAGGGACAAATTTACATTCTTAGGTTTGAATATGCCCGTCAAGGGTATAAGTATGGTAAACACGGATAACATTTTTGCCAATATTATTACCTGTGTTGCAACTAATAATATAGGCAAAAATGTCCTCTGTGTTTACCATAAATACTTTTGACCTATATATTCCAAAATATTTGTATAATAGATCACTAAACGTATGCGTTTTTACGAGTCTTTGTATTCCTACCCATATCGTATTTACATATAAATTATGACTGATTGATTAATTGATTGATTGACTGATTCATTGATTGATTGATTGATTGATTGATTGATAGTCGGTGATCACAGCATGACATGAAGTGCTCTGTTATTCTGAATAAAATTTCGTCGTTCCTGACCGCAACATATGGGTATCCGTGACATATGAGAAACCTCCATTTCACATAATTGACAAAGTAAGTTAAAAAAACGGTTTGAGTCGTCCGTTCCTATTTTATATGTGAACATTGTTGTTTACCTTTGCAGAGCGTCTCTAAATTCTAATATCCCATTGGTGGATCCAATAAATATCGGTTTGTAACCACCGTTTCCTCGATTCCTTCATAATGGCCCTTTGAACTCAAGTAAAGAGCACTTGAAACATTAGCCGGTAAATATCCGGTATGAATTACTGTAGGCTATAAAACAAAGCATATTAGGCAAAGTCAGAAAGTTGTCAGAGCGCGCCCTCTTCATGCAGCAGTATAAACGAAACAGAAGAACTGATATTTGAAATTAAAAGAAATCATTATCATGTCGTTTTTCATTTCGCTATTTGTGGTGAGCTATTTATTTGTGCTCACTCCAAGCGTGGAATCACTAATTCCATTTTGGCAAAAAATAACCACCGCAAGACCAGTTCGATCACAAGCGTATTATGACAGTAAGTCGAGCCCTTTCTAGCTTCTTCGCAGTGGCGGATCTAGGGGTGTGCAGAATAAATAACACAGCTTAATTTTAAATTCAAAACACCTTAATAACAACGCTAATGGTTATAGATTTGAAAGGAATATTTTTACATTAAAATCTGCCAATTTTAAGCTTTAGTAATTTATTCTGCACATCCCTAGATCCGGCGCTGCTTCTTCGCAAGTGCTATTAAATAAATAAAACTGCATCAGTATACAGCGATTTACCGCTTATAGCGAACATATATGTTTATTGTATTTTAGGCTTCAAGGCAATCCCAACGAAGGAAGAAACAGCTGAAAAGTTGATGAAAAGTTTTCTAACCACAGCCAGAGTGAGCGGCAAAGACAAACCACGACGTCGTACTAAAGTGGAAGATACGGTGGCGATATTGGACTCATCTGGGTCAGTTGGAGATTGTGAATTTAATAAAGGAAAGAGAGCCTTGAAAGATCTGATGATGATTCGCCGTCCTCCTATTTTTGTGAATTACTATGCTGGTGTTGTGTATTCAACAACGGCAACTGTGAAATTTAAGTTTTTGCCTGCCTTTGAAGCTGCTAAGAAAATGAATGATTTTTTTTATGAGGGAGGAATTACAAATACTGCTGACGCGCTTAGTAAAGCTTATGATTTGCTCTTTGATAAAAATTCAGGTATGATTACGAAGTAACTCGCTATAATCTAAGTAATTTGCTGTGCTAAACCCAAGCTACGACTTAACCAATATCGTCCCTTCCCCGTAGACAGGCATTCCCGTATGTAATTGTTGGGAAAGTAATTAGTTATTTGTCATGCACTGAATTTTCTCCAGGTAGCCATTTTCCTTCGAGAAAGATGGTGTTCCTACTAACAGACGGGAAGTCAAACAAAAATCAAGATCAGACAATACCAAATGCTGATGATTTGAAAGATCACAATGTTGAGATCTATGTCGTTGCAGTGGGAGACTTTACTAGTGACATCAACGAGGTAGTGGACATTGCGTCGTCGCCTGAAACGCATCTTCTCCGAGTTAAAACGGTTGGAGACTTTCTAGGCGTCGTTAAACTTGTTGTCAAAAAAGTTGATCCTGATACTTACAAAGTGATTAGTAAGGTTCCACCTCCATGTTGAAACTTCATGCACCGATGCTCCCTGCATTAAATTATTGCACGGTATTTCCATGTCATCACTTTGTATACAATTAGTTTGATAGAGATGTAATGTCAGCAGCTTTGTACGCCGGTCAATTGCAAGCTTTTTTAACAAATTTGCGACTTAATTAAATACCAGTAGTCTGTAGTCGGTGTCCTTGTTTGATATATGTTACTTTCGGGGACAGTGCCCTGTGCCCTTTACTATACCATAATTATATAATATTATGCCATGCATTCACCATTTCATCTTAATTTTCATTTTAAGGCTGTGCTACAATCAAAATAAAAAATATTTGTGTTTTTCTAAAATCTACCTCCGCTGCGCTAAACTGCTTTCGGCACCACCGTCCTTCAGTAATCCTTTTTGCGCATCACGACTTTTCGTTATCTCTAGCTAACCCTGCATCAGTAAACACCATTGAACTCGATATAGCTGAAAAACTATAACTTCTGTCTTCCGATAAATGGCTTTAACTTACCTTGCAGAGTGTGTTGTGTACTCCGCAAGGTATTAAGCATAATTTATATCAGTTGAATACACTTAACAGCAGCAGATTGCATGCAATTCAATTTAGATTTAAATCAGTCTAGACTTGTACAATTATACCTGATAAAATGCCAATTTTTAAAGCTTGACCACTTTTGGCGATTATACTGAATCTTGTAAATAGAAAGCATTCAAACAACAACTGAGTCATATGATTTGCAAACCAGATATTGGTTCACTATTTACACAACATCTCTTTTATTGATTAACGAACAAGTAAGCCAAAAAATTATTTCTAATTGCAATAACCTATAATCATCTTGCATTGTCTGAGTTGCCATATATAATTACAAACAGAAAAGTTTCTCACGTCTTTCCCTTCTCTTTTTGGTTTCCTTGGAGCAAGGGCATGAATATAAATTATACTTTTCGTTTTCTTTGTTAAATAAATACCAATTAATACCAGGTGATCTACGGTTAAGGTACGAAACGTATAGTATATATATTGCACCAAACCTTGGTCTTCTTAATAAACATTTTTATTGTAACGTTAATCAATTAAAGGCGGAATATCAGATGTTACGAAAAGTTTAACTGGCCTCGCTAGCCAGCTGGCCTTCGCTGGCTACTGACCAGTCAATCGAACTCCGTGGAATATCAAACTTTCCGTCAATTCCGTGCTTGACGTCGCTATACACACATATCTAATAATATAGCAAATATAGCAATGGACCATTGGTAGCATATTTTTTTTTATTTGTGAATAGCGCACGGAAAATTATCATTGCTAATTAATATTTTTGGTATTTTTTCAGTTTTCGTTTCAGTAATTCTGTGATTTCTGTCACGCTGCGATTGCCTGGAAAATGCCTTATTTGTATACCATTCGTATGTGTACACTCTTTCGAATATCATACTTGCAAGCCTATATGAATAGACAAAACCGCTTAATCAAACCGCGCAAATATTCGATCGGTTAAAGCAAGGCCCTAATATTTATGTATTCATTTCATCATTGCTCCGTTTTTAGAATACCACACACGTGGCGAAGCCAGCCTTACGATTTTGTCCCGTTAAGTAAATTTCAAGTTAGTATAATTATTCATCTCCTTAGAAATAGCTACATTGTTTTCACAGTCAATGAACACCAAAATATATACCAGCATAGGCTATAACGGGACATTTTATGATTGCTCCGTTCTTGAAATACCATACAAAAGCTGAAAGGATATCACAAATCATTAATCACACGATTGTTATTATTGTATATCACTCGAAAGCTAAAGCTGCCTGGTCTCATGAAATATAAGTATCATTTGAAGTGTCAATGTAATATAATTTCTTCAGTATTTATCATTCAAAAAACGACATACCACGTTCATACTGAAAATAAAATATCATATTTCGTACAACAAACACGAAAAAAAACAAGGTAGACACGGATTATAAACTACTTCAAGGATTAAAACTACGAGTCGCATGCAAATTTTTGCTGAGTATTTTCTAATAAGTCTTTTAGAAATAGAGAAAAAAGAGATATACACGTTCTATTTCTTCGTTTGTGCGGTCGTCTTAAGAACGGAGAGATAATAAACAATCTTATTATATGGCACGCGGTCTCGTGACTAAAATGGCGTGCGCTGATTGGTTCTTTGCCGGTCTGGAATCCCCCAGTGTTAGACCGGTGCCGCAGTAACTGTGCAACCCTCTTGCACTTTTATTTTTGACACGAAAAATATCCGGCGACGGAGAACGGACGAAGAAGAGCATTATTTGGTACATGTGAATATTATATTAATTCATCTTTGATTTTTGTTAATATTACTGTATCATTCTTATTTTAACGAGTAAAAAACAGAGTTTTTGAAGCCACTTCAGTGCTTGCTTGGCGACTGGCTGGCGAAAGAGCCGATAAGAATGCTGCAGCGCATTGTAAAATAAATAAACTAAATACTGTATGCCATATAATAAATCCCTTATTAACCGAATACGTTCGGTCCGTACTGGAAAAATATCAGACCTCAGTCTTTTATGTACTGTCAAGACCTCGGTCTGATATTTTCCTAGTACGGACCTCAAGTTCGGTTAATAAGTGGTATATATTTATTCTGTAACCCAGAATAATTCCAAGAACTCTTTTAAGTTGATGATGTTTAAAGCGGTGATGTAAAAAAGCCTTAGTCAGGTAATTCCTCGAAAAACGACATACGAAGTTCATACGGAAAATAAAATATCATATTTCTTACAGCAAACACGAAAAAAACAAACTACTTCAATGATTATAAACTACTTCAACGATTGTAAACTACTCCAAGAATTATAAACTACTTCAACGATTGCAAACTACTTTAAGGATTATAAAATACTTCAAGGATTATAAACTACGAGTCGTTCCTATTTCCGTGACTAACCTGTGATAATCTTTTAATCTTCTCCCGGTGTTTATGTAATTTTATTTGACTATATATTTCATTTTGATTTAAAAAAGTTTACGAAACATGTTTTTAAAAAGATATTTTCCAAAATGACAGCTAAAATGCTGACGTTCTCATTAAAATACAAACATAATTGTATATCACCATTCTTTACTCGTTCAAATTTCGCGCATGTGTACAAACACCATGACCATTGCATGCACGGCCAAGGTCCATGATATAGGATTTGGGCAACTTTGGACTCCGCTATGTTCTGTCACAATACCACACAATATCACAACTGGCGTGACGTATACGTATAGCCAGCCTGACGATTTTGTCCCGCTATGTAAATTTCAAGTATTATAATTATTCATGTTCTTAGAAATACATTGTTTTCACAGTCAATGAACACCAAAATATATACAAGCATAGGCTATAGCGGGACATGCTATGATTGCTCCGTTCTTGAAATAGCTACCACACAAAAGCTGAAAGGTAATCACAAATCATTAATCGCACAATTGTCATTATTTATTCTACATATATCACACAAAAGCTAAAGCTGCCTGCATGGTCATGAAATATAATTGCTGCCGTGCACCAGCACGCTATTCTTGCACGTATATATATATAGTCGAAATCTGGATTTGTGTCTATCCCTCTGTCTATCACAGATTTCCGGGTGTTTTTTTTTACGGAATGAGGGGGAGCGCTGCCTTTTTAATATTTCACTCATATGTTGATAAAAATCGGCAGAAAATTTTTTAAAAGGGCCCCTCCATACGGCTGATTTACATCAAAGTGTTAAGTAATGAACATTTTTGTGTTTGATATAGAGGTAAGGCCGGTCTTCCACTAGCGTTTATTTTCGCGCGAAGCGACATTTTACTTTTGTTTTAGAGCTCTAACTGCAACCATCTGGAACAAATTGCTCAAATACAAAGGAATAAAGTCGCTTCGCGCGAAAAATATCGCTAGTGGAAAACCGGCGTAAGCAATAGGGCTGTTTATTCGAGCGAAAATAAGCCGCGGCTTATTAAGGTCGCGAACAGCACGTTTATATTATTCCAAATTGGTCGCATGCAAACACTCGTATAAACGACTCAAATTCGCTTTCACAAGTCCCGGCTTCTAAGACAGTTTTTGCAATGTAAGCCTAAATTGATGCTGAACACCAATGTTTAATTTAGGATTTGGTCGCCCTGACTTAAATTAGCCGCGGTTTATTAATTTATTTAGCCGACGAGTTATTTTCGCTCGTATAAATGGCCCTAATGTATAAATTGATCAAAAACAACTTTAAATGTCTCACTGCGACTAAAATAATGTAATTAACAGCTCTAAATAGTGGCTTAATTGTTCTAGACCTAGGTGTTGATTTATTATCTTTCTCTGTGGACAATGATTGTGATATAGCCTGACAAAATAAAGTTACTTACAATGAAAATGTTTAGTTGTACAGAGACAGAGGAATAAAATTATGGGGAGACATTACATGTCTTTCACTATTTGTTCGAGGCATACCACATTTTGAATCCACTGCCTGTAATAATTTCTATATGGTTTCATCCTTTTGTACGTGCATATAGTACCAAATATATCTTTATTTTAATTTGATAACATGTTCCAAAAGTGCTTAGCATGTGTTGTTTTGATTTTCAATCAATGGTAACAATTAAATATACTATAGCTATAGTTTTGTCTACTCTGTTACTTTGTTAAACATCAGAAAGGTAGAGCTGGAGCCAGTGGTATAAAGAACAGTTATGTATAAGTATAGTTAGGAAAGAAATTGGCTAAGACAGATACAGCGAAAGGTAAAAATTAATTACCTTAGAGGTACTCACAGAAATTAGTATATAACATCATATTAAGATTGTAGTGTTCCCGACAATGAAAAAATAAGAAATACATTTTAGAAATACAGAAAAAGAGATATACACGTTCTATTTCTTCGTTTGTGCGATCGTCTTAATTAAGGACGGAGAGATAATAAACAATCATATTTATTCTGTAACCAAGAATAATTCCAAGAACTCTTTTAAGTTGATGATGTGTAAAGCGATGATGTAAAAAAGCCTTAGTCAGGTAATTCTTCAAAAAACGACATACGAAGTTCATACGGAAAATAAAATATCATATTTCTTACAGCAAACATGAAAAAAACAAAGTAGACAAGGATTATAAACTACTCCAAGGATTATAAACTACTTCAACGATTGTAAACTACTTTAAGGATTATAAACTACTTTAAGGATTATAAACTACTTCAACGATTGTAAACTACTTCAAGGATTATAAACTACTTCAACGATTGTAAACTACTTTAATTAAGGATTATA